AGCAGCTTTTACCTGCAGCTGTCCTTCATCAAACTATTGATGAAAAATAAACATTATTATTATTATTATTATTATTATTATTATTATTATTATTATTATTATTATTATTATTATTATTATTATTATTGTGAAGACAGAGCAGTGAGTCACATTCATTAGGATTGATTTCACAATGCCCTTCTTAAATGACCAATAATTGGCCAGAAGCTGTGATTATATTCTAGTAGAGACGAAGAGATTGTAAATTACAGTCAGATTCCGGCATTTTTTTGGCTTTGTGAGTAGGATTTTTATTTTTAAATTATACTTGAAAGTAACACAAACCGTCGTGTGGCACAGCCAAGCATAACAGAATTGAAGATGGATTATGAAATATACAGTCAATCACTTTCCTGTGTGTAGTCGTGTAGCCTAAAGCTGTCATGTGCGCCAGTCGTCAAAATTAGAATATGTTCATTATTAACCAACCCCACTTAATTATGCACTGCTTATGGCGTAAAAAGGGAGAGACGGTGAAAAGCGACGCTACCGTCACAGCCCCCAGTGGACCAAGTCGATTCACAGTGCATGCACATTAAACCACCATGCTCAAGCACGAACCAATCTCGTGCTCACTTTTTGCAGCATGTGAGTATACAACTTTATATTCACAGTAGATAGAAAAATTTTGATGACAAATCTTTTGCAGCGTTTTTACTTCGCCATTGCAAAATTAGACTCACTGACTGGTAAGATTTCTGTTTTGCAAAAAAGAAATGTGGCACTGTAAAAATTAGTTGTATGTCTCTTTAACTAACTAGGAGTGGCCCGAAGAAAACTGCATATTGGTCCTAGGCCTATACATCCAGCAGACCTGCGCCTCGCTCTAAGGACATTTTTATGTCTAAGAAGTGCACCAATGTTTTTGCATCATTTGATGTGTGACCTCTAGTAGTTGCGGAAACCTCGTAAACAATTCAGGTACGTCTAAAGAATCACCACAGAATTCACCTGATTTTGATTCAAGAAACGGAACTTCATTATCCACATACCTAAATACTTTTTTTATTACACTTCTATCTTCTAGCTGTAATTCTAGTTTTATTTTTATACGAGCAAGAAAAAGATCACTTAGAATTGGTACAATACACTGCAGTATCTGCATCTCTTTTTGTTGTCTTTTTGTGCGCTAAAGAGTGAGCCACAGCAGAGCGACTCAAAGCCCACCTAGACAATCAAATAATAAAACTAGCCTTTTCTAAAACTGATTAGGCGGTCCTCACTTAACCAATCCAGACCACTCAACCAATCCAGACCGCCAATCTACGTAAGGAACAAACATGGAGGCAAAGAGACGTTTTCATCAAGGCTCGTTCTCGAAATATGAGCCCCACCTTTTGTGCTGACTGACGCAATGCTAGCATTCAGGATAAGTACTCGGATCATGAGAGCACATTTTTTGTGTGTGCCATCCGGTCACACACAGGAAAATTCGTGGTAGTAAACCAGGGCAATGTGTCGACTGTGTATTAACCAAACAGGATGATGTTGCAAACATACAAGAAATTGGTATTGCACCCAGGTATTGTTTATGGTATTGGTATTGAACTCCACCCAGGTATTGTGCATGGTATTGCTTATGAACTCAATGACGGCCTATCGCAACTACATTATGGGCAAAATCAGTCCTCTTGCAGACACGACACGGAAGCGTGGCTGCACTATCGCTTTGAAAAAATGAATTTTCTCGAAAAGGAGATTCGGCATGTTTGAGAGATAACTTGTTCCTTGATACTTTCACTGATTGTATCATCCTGTATATATCGACGTGTAAACGCAATAAAACATGGTTGTTAGGCAGCGCCGTATCTTCTCGTATCCGTCCTGTACCAGTGCTGTTACTTCTTTCTTTGTCAGTATGTACTAACCAGCACAATTCAAGACGCCTATACAGTTCACAACACACCCATGCTTTTTTGCAACAATAGTTGCATTCCGTGGCTCACCCGTGTTTGGTGTCAGGCACGTAGACAAGGGGGGAGCCCAGGGCGGGGCTTAGGCCCTGCCAAAATACGTCCAGACAGCCAATATCGCCAGAGTATAGAGGCACTAATACAAGTAGCAACGTGCACATTTAAACAAATGAAAAAGAAACGCTATTCAAGGAAATTACTAAGGACAGCTACCAAATAACCTTCATTCTGAAAGCATGGCAACACTTGCCGAGAAATTTAGCGTTTGGTCCCGGAATCAAGACGACAACAGAAACACGACTATCTTATATGTCTGAGACGTCAGCGAAAACATTGGCCGTACAGGAAAGAAGACATCCGAGTGACTCACGAGCCTACGGCCACATGCTCTCTACAGATTGCCAAAGACTGTCCACCCTGAGAGACAGCCAAAGACACTGTATACATGAAGAGCTCGTAAAAGGGTACTCTGAATGCGATGGCTTCGATAACCCATTAAACGTCTGTGCCCACTCCTGTAAATGTTAACCCCACGACGTTAGGTCTGCTTGCTGCCTTTATCTTTGGACAGGCGCCCGCGTGGCGGAAAGAGTAAACAGGGTAAACAACTTTTGGGACACCCACCTGTTGAATGAGTGTTTATGTGACTCTCCTGTTATTCGTCTATTGCCCATCGACGGAAGTGCCATAGTGGGTGAACTGGCTCATCACTCTCTGGAAAGTAAGCAGACGACCACCATTGTTACTTACGTCATTGTACGTGTGGTAGCGCGTTTGTGTTTCCGTTAGAAGATAGCAACGTTCCTCGTATATTTGGTGGCTGAAGCTTCTGGGGATGTATAATAATTGCTCGGGGGTGGGGTTCTCAACACGAACAAAAACTTGCTCACAATACGGTTTTACTTACTTACTGCCGGGCCTTATGAAAAAGAGTGACGGAAGAAATGGATTGCTGCCGTGCATTGGCAACAGGCGAGCCGCTCCAACATTGTGCGAGTTAATGTGTCGCTTTTTGTAATGAAGCTTTCGATCTGCCATATCAGCGATCGTTGGAAGCACTTGATCATGTTGACACTGGTAAACGACGAAAGTTATCGTAGCCAACGCATGTGTTGGTTTAGTTCGACCGCCATGCAAGAGTACATTGCTCGAGCGTTCTGTACTTATTACGTACAGAAACAGCTATGTGGGAATCGCTGACATCACAAAGAACAAGCAGGGATTTAGATGCCGCATATGTAAAAAAAAAAAAAAAAATGTATGGTGATCACAATCTCCACTCAAATTTGCGCCTTGTTGTGCTGGACTGCGCAAAGCTTCTTACATATTCACAGACTTGACGATTCACTCCTCCCACACTTCACTAACCGACGCATCACTGACTGACCCTCCGTTGCCGTGTGCTTGGGTCCAAGCTGAAAAGCCAGGGAAGCTTCTGCATGATACGTGTATATGTAGCTCAGCAAAAGGAAAAGAGCCACATCCATCTGACAGATTTGTCTGTGGAATCAGATGGTGCTATTTCGGTTTCTCGAGTTCTCCCAATCTTGTGCGCTGTTGGGTCTTTCGCGAATCAGATGGCTCGACGACCCGGTGGTGAGAATGAGAGTCCGACAAGGTGAAATGCGAGGAAAAAGCGTGGTTGACCTCCAGGGGGGCAGGCGCTCACCTGGAACAACTTCCCAATGGCTTTGTACATGAATTGCTCATTGCACTCCCTGAACCTTTGTTTCAGTGGCGCATCAGCTGTCCAAAAAAGTGCACACAGTGGAGCGTGCACTTTCTGCCGGTGCCACCCTGAAGGACAGCAGTCCTGAAAAAAAAAAAAAAAAACCTAGAAATGTACAATGTGAGTCAGCTGGCTACGCTGATATTGCGAAACAAGGTGGGTGGAACGTCATGATTCAGCTGCATTGTTTGGACAAGCGCTTTTCGTGATAGTTGATTCATTTGAAGAGTTCATAGACACCTTCCATGACGAAGCGATAGTGTCCACTGCTCATTGATTCTATCAGCAAACCTATTCTTTTTTATATACCTCGCTGTTAGTGAAACATTCCTGAGCCTCACACGCCAATTGTCTGTGTACCTGCAGAGCCCATATATTGACATGAGCGTCGCCTTGGAGCTTGGTGCTGACTAAGCTGGAAGAGAATGGAACACAGAGGCAGAATTCCCCTAAATATTTCTCCATGTCAACACAGTACAGTGGAGTTCGGAGTGAAGTGGGAGGTTAAATGGCTTGTAGGGACCGCTCAAACTACGATTGTAGTTCTGCAGTAGGCGAGCCTTGTTTATTCCTTACATAGATGACCTGAGAACTTCCCTCAAAAGGCGCTTTGTAAACCATCGCAAAACACTGCAAAGTTTGCAATTTGTGTTGCCAAAGCACACCCCCAGAGACAAATTTGAATGTGCGCAGTCGGCCTTTGATTTTTGCCTGAGAAATATGACAACAGCTTATTTCCTCACACTAAAAAAAATGAATGGAAAATCTTAAAAACTAAATGGCAAGTCATGCAAGAACATGTATTTTCTCGCTTTGCGACGGATGCTTTAGCTGAATGCGGCAAAGCCTTCTTCCTGAACATTTACACCCTCCTCAAGGTATAAGCAATGCTCCCAGTGAGTACAGCTGAAGAAGAAAGCAGCTTCTCGACACCGAGAAGAGAGAAAATGTGTTTGTGGAACCGAGCGGCTTGATGGTATGACCCTGGTGTCTAATTACCGAATACAAGTCAGTGTCGATGAAGTTATCCCCAGTGTTTATGAAGAAATGGAGACGCATGAAAATTGTATCTTGAACCACTGTCTTCGCCCAGACTACAGTTTTTTTTTCTTTTGCATTAAGCTTGACTATATGGCGAAACCATTGACTGTGCCATTCTTCAAAATTGCTTTCGAAAATGAATCTTGACATTCTGCTTCTTTCGTGTTGAGGAAGCATTCGTGTTTAGTTCTTTGTTGTCTATTAAAATTGTTTTCCCGACTATGTGGGTTCTTTGTTTAAATGTTCGTTCTATAAAATGGCTTCCATTCTTCTTGCAGGCTTATGGTTAGGACAGTGTGTGAGAAGTTCGGCAGCGAATGCATCCAATATTTTATTGCTGCACGTGCGTAAGTGAACGACCAGTTCCCTTGCATTGCCCCCCTTTTTATTTTCATTTTGTCGCTCGACATTATTTGGAAGGAAAGCATTCGTTCGGGTGCACACGCATTAGCTTTGCTGCAGCGGGAACATTTGCTTTGTATCATTGAATAACTCGCCTATTGTGCTCCATTCCACTTTGTGCTCATTTTATTATAATAATTAAGCACCTTCTATATTCTTGGGCAACATTGTTCCTATTTTATTTGCCAGAAAAGACTTTCTCATGAAAAACTAGGCCACGCCCCCCTTGAAAAAAAAATCTTGCCTAGGTGCCTGTTTGGTGCATGATGACCTCTGCAATAAAAGCGTTTGCTGCTGGTCGGCCGGCCAATATCAGGCTTTAATGCATCACGCTTCACTGTCACTGCTGTGTGAGCGCCGATTTCTACCAGTGCCTCCCTTCTCAATCTTCCCCGTCTCCCAATAGGCATATTCGCTGCCAATGTATAATGTGCCCCCACGAAAGTTAACTGGGGCTCTGAAAGGAGCTGTTGTAAGGCATTATCCTAAAGGCCACTAATAACCAATCTTCTAATGTTTTCCGAAAGTTGCAGTGCTCTAACAGTTCGTGAAACTCGGTGATGTCATCATCATTGTTCTTTCCAGACTGCTGGTCGCACTTACTGAACTGGATTTCTTGCACTGTGACGGCTGTCCTGGGGTTGTCAACCCCAAGCCACTCCAACCCCAAATGTCAACCTCTTGTGTTAAAATGGGCTGACAGTTTCTGAATGATAGTGGCATAGCTGGTCACTGATTGCAGAGCCGGTGTGCACTGCGAACAACTGACTTTGTATGCCGTTTGACGATATGTTGTGCATATGTGCGATGTGTTGTGTGTGTGTGTGACGATATGTTGTGTTGGGCGGGCTTCTTCTGTGATCATTAGAGGCCGGATCTATAGGCACTAAAGAACCGGGTTTTATGCGCCAAAACTAGGCAGGCGAAACACTGTTTTAGGCACGAAAAATTGTAAATATAGGTGCCATAAAGTTTGATGAAAATCGAATTTTGGAAGAAATACGTGTTGGATCTCTGTGTATGACTGGAAAGCAAACAGGTATGTTTTAGTTAATGCTGGTGTAAAGGTGCCAATGGTTTAGCATAGCCATGCAATTTTTCCCCGCAGTTAGTGCAGTATACGGTCTCTCCTGGTGAGTTAATAGTCTGCCATCAAATAAGCACGCTCCAGTCTCTCTTTCTTTTCGGCATGGTTGAGAACGGCCACACAGGAGCAAATAGTCGGAGCGCTAATAGGCCAAAAGGGTCTTCTTGCTTTGTATTAACATGGTCTACCGCAGAGGGTCTTTTGTCTGTGAACACCTTAAAGGGGCCATGACAGGGTCACCCAACAGTTTGCTGTTTTCAGCAGAAAACGAAGGTAGAGGGTCAAATATGCCCTAGATACGCATAAGAACTAGATTTTCAAAGACTGTTTTCGTGTAAAATAAGCCGTAGAAGCCGTCGGCCATAAACTTCGCCCATTTCTGACAACCACCACCGTGCTTTGGAATGCATGACGTCACAAGAGGCGTGGAGCAATGCTGTTGTCTGCTACCAAATAGCCACCTACTGCACGCGGTCAGTGCGTTGCTGTGTCATAAGGTATGTAACTGCGCAAAAAACTGACGGAAACAAGAAGGAGAGAAAAAGGACAGACAAGCGCAGTGCTGTGTTGCTTGCCGGTTAGTCCGCACGTTGTTAGTATGTTGCGGTACTGTGTTGCGGCGTGATACTGCGGTACCATCCCCATGTCGTCGACACCATCAAACGATTTGGGCACTGGGTCGCCTAGCAGCAGTAGCAGCAACAACTTGGTATACGTTGCACATTTCGATTTAATGTTTTAATGTTTAAACGTGGACCTGCGTCATCGCCGTCATCCACTCGGTAAACAAAAGAAGCACGAGTTTTTGAATACACCATAAGTTGTTCACCAGCATTTTACAATATGTATTCTACAAGAAGACAAACATGCTAGTCGTGCGAGGAAATTGATGTTTAGTGCCCATGTTGGGAGGTAAATCTGCATCGCAAGCGAGACGGATACTGCGATTTCACTCACGATAATCGATCTTGGCTCCCATATCCCAAATTATGGCCTACCAAGCCTCTACTGCTGAACCATCGCGATCGACAAGTAATGAAATAAGTATTCGCTTGCATTTGCACATGCTCGCGTAAGTCGCTCTAACAACTCAGTATTAGGTATTCTTTTGTAAGCATAGTGATCTTGTTAACGACAAAAACACTGCACTCACCTCTTTCCTTTGACACTTTTCAAAAGCACAGTGTGACAACACGGTCGGTACCGCGTAGGGCTGCAGCCTTGGCTTTCTCTCTGGTTTACCGAACTCGCTGAGAAGTCGCAGGTCGTTATTGTAGCTATCTAGCGTGAAGTTACGCTATCTAGCGTATCTAGCGTGAATAGGGAATGGTCAGTGGCTCACCAGTCCTTTTTGCGCACATTCAGCTCCCAAGCCTTGCGCTTGGCGGGCTCCATATAGTTTCCTAAAATTAACTAGAGGGGACTGTGGCGCTGCGATCGTTCAGCGTCCATGGGTATGATGGGTAGTACACAGATTTGCCTAGTCTTCGTACTTGTGGGCGGCAAATTGCACTTATGGCTTAGTTTATTGCTGTGTTTCGGTTTTGTTTCGATGGAAAGAATGAACCCTTTTGAACTTTGTGACCCGATTTGAAAAAGTAAGCCTAAATAAATGAGGTGGTGAAGCACAACCGCTGAATATTTGCCGATTCTTGTTTCGTGAGAAAACAACTCCAAGCCACTCAAACACTCACGAAGCCAGAAGCAGACCAGAAGTACGAAAATTAAAATCTGTGTACTACCCATCATTCCCATGCTCACTGAAGTGCCACGTGTTGCTGCTCCCATAAACAGTAGCGCCAGATTTCCCTCTAGTGTGTATTACAAAACTCTATGGTGGGCTCTTTTGGGTACCTGAAAAACGACACTGTACTTTTTTGGCTTCGTACGTTTTGTCACCCACAGCACTACACGGGCGATGCAGTGGCATCATTTCAACTGCTGCAAGTCACTTCGTTCGAATGGCAAGTTGAGCAAACCTGACATAGCTCGATTGCCCGTGCAGATGACTATGGAACTAAATCATCCTCCAGCATGTAGACGCAGTAATCCTCTCTCTACGTTATGGCTGGCGAGTGCCCCAGTGTTGCCCGACTCTCAAGCCACTCGCTCGTTTATAAAGAAAATTCAATTATAAATTAATGGCTCAACCAAATGAGCTGAAATTATCGCCAGCCTGTTTGTGAACGTACAAAAATGAACCCACACGTCGCAGATTAAGGTCGAAAATTGGGTGTCATGACCCCTTTAAAGGACCCTTCACAAGGTTTGAAAATTTCGAGCAGGCAAGAGGAATGCATGCGTGGGGCACTGACGATCTGATCTGCAAATATTTGCAATGCTATGCACCCCGGATAAAGGTGAAATGTCAGACTGTACGCCGCCTAACCTTCATCTCAAGGTGTGTGCCCAGCACGCTGGAGGGGACATATACAATGGCCCTGCGTACGTCAAAGTAATATGTGACAATGTGAGAATAATTTAAGGCGATGGGTGTAATCTGTGCTATCTGTTCTCTGAATAGAAGTGTAAAAGTTGACAGAAATAATAAAGCATGTGAACGGAACCTATGCGGTCTTTTTTTTTTGTTTTGTTTTCTTAAATTTCGTATCAAGCGTAATGCGAAGCTAAGCTGCCTCCATTTTGTTTGTGTTGAAGTTCTTTCCGTTTTCGCATTGTGCCGGTGCCAGCATTCACAACACTTGGTGTGTTTCTGGAGCATCGTGCAGTAGAGCCGTTCCAGTGGTGCGAGGCTGTTTACTTTTTTAAGAATACATGATCCATGCCAGTTTTCCTAAATGCGCACAGCTATACGTATTCATCCGACAGAAATCGGCACTACAATACTGAGAACGTCGAATCAACACAACACTCCTTGCATGCATGACCTGGCATGGGCATGTCGTGTGAATGTAACTTTGCATGCACATGACATACTTATGCGTCTGCATCGTGTGAACGTCTGGCTTGAAATTGTTCCGATACCGAAGAGGGGATGGAAGAAACTTGGCTAGAGAAGTCTGCATTGGGCGAATAACAGAGGTTTCTCTCTCACCTCCTCTCATCATGGTTTTGCAGCTTGTAATCAACAAATTAAATAATTAAAGTGGTGCAAAGATTTTCATTGGACACACAACAACTTCCAGTGTCTAAGTAAAAGTTCTAATGAGACCTGGTGATGTGTCACTCAAGAAGTGACAAACAAAACAAAAACCACATGAACATCTTTTTTCCCCTTTATTTACGCTCTACTTTCCCCTGATGACACTCCACGATTTTGCATTCGTTTTTCATCGTCCTGTGGCTGCACAGAAGCGCCTCCTGTTCCCTTCGCATGCGAGCTGACGCCGGGGATATGAATGCATTCATAGAGGATAATCAGCCTTTCTATTGGCTAAGAGGCCTTGTAGCCTTGACGTAGCTGAAAGGAACATGGAAGATGGAGTATTGGTTGGACCCCATAGAGTTTCGAAAGCTTAGTTTTGCCTGGTAACATGAATACCGGTCTGCAGCTTTGCTTTAAAGCAAAATTTGAGGTTGAAAGCCTTCGTATAAGCGCGGATTTTGAAAATGGGCATTTATAGGCACTCATAGGGATTTAGGCAAGAAAGTCGAAAATAGGCAAATATAGGCACTATAAGAACGCTATCGAAGCTCTCCTTAACCTGTAGTTCATGCTCATATTTCAAAGTGGCATGATAGGAACGCAAGAAACAAAATTGGCATTTGCTTCTAATCTGGTCTCTAGGAATCATATTGTTACGGTTAAAGTCAAAGGGTATTTATTAGCAGGGCGAAGTTGATGGTTCGGTAGTAATGGCGTTGGTATCTGCGCCAGTTCGCATCTTCCTCCTCTTC